CTTTTCTGTTTTCCGCTTTTCTGTCAAGGGCTGCGTTCCGTAAAGCGCATTATGCGCAAGATTTATCTTTTTATCTTTGTTTAACATTTGATGAACAACAAGGATACCATGATATATCATGCGCTAAGGTGTGAATTCGCCCTTATAGTATCGATGAATCAATCTTATGATTGGCCATTTGCAAGTCCAATCAGGACTCGTAAAGCCGTATTCACACTAGCGGTTGAGATTGAGATTAAATTGGGATTTGACCAATCAAAGCAAAATTTACTAAACTTGATATTAGTTATTTTTCTTCTGGTCAAATTTCAATCCAATCTCAACCTCAATCGCTAGTGTGATTACGGCTTAACACCGGTCGCGCTTTTCTAATAATCTAGGACTCTAGTGTAAACTAGGTCATTGACAATACAATTGTATGTATGTGTATATACAAGTGCGTTTGGATGGACAGCTAGGGTTGTGCATCTACGTATAAAATATAATACTCTACGTTTACGTGTAGACAACGTAAATTATTGTAAAACTGTCATCTATGTAGACAGTCAGTAGACTATATATTTATTCATTTAATAAATACATATAATTTAACATTTATATAAAAAAAAACTACCATTTGAGTAAGAAAACTCTGGTTGCATTCTTAATCTTAATCTCGTAGTTAAATTAATGTTCAAAATACATCAAGAATATCCTAAAGATGTGGTATCTTTAGTTTGTTCCTATGATACATTTTGGACATTTCTACTGTGGGTAGATGCTGCTTTATAATTTAATTCTTTTATATTCTATACATTAGTGATACAATTTACAATAGTCTACGTAATTTACAAGTCTAGATTGTCTACTGTAGCAGAAAGATCGTGTAAACATCACGTAGATTTCCACGTAAATAATCCGTGTAGACGTAATCTTGAAATCTACGGCACAGCCCTGGGTTTGGACAAGCCCGGATGTTGCGCGTCGTTGCCGCCGTCGTGCCAGATAAAACTTGATTGGTCGATATCCCCCGTCGATACACCGCGACGCGCGAGTTTCCGGCCGCGCGTGCGCACCAGCGCCGCGTGAAACTCCCGCGCGGGTCCTGGCATCGCGCGACTCGCTTGGTGGAGAAGAGAGACAGGACAGGAAGAGGTGATCTCGAGGTGCACAATTGGCGTATCGACCGAGCACACATCGAAACACATATCGTCATCGCGCGGCGCCCAGTGACGCGTTGGCGGCGTGTCGCCCGCGATCTCGCGGAACAACAAAAGGTACGTAGGATTATGATGATCGATGAACAACGGTAATCGATATCGAAGTCGCGCGCCAGCGGCTTCCCCGCGTTTCCACCACGTCGCAATTCCGTGTGACGATAACGCTCTCTCGTTAACTCTCTCTCCCTCCCCTCCCCGCCCCTCCCTCCTTCCCCCGCCGCCGCTGCCCGGGTTGGCCATATTGTTAGCCGTTGATAAATTCACGGGATTCTCGTACCGACTGGTAAGCTGATAGCTTTCGGCATCGCGCGGAATGTCGCGACGCATTTTCGTTCCGTTCTGCCCGACGCGTCCGAGGACCGGAGACGCGCGCGAGAAAAAAATCCGGTCGGCGGCCGGCGTCGTGCGGAAGGAATTGCGCGCGCGAGAGAGAGAGAGAGAGAGAGAAATCCGTAGGGCGACGGTTCTCGGGCGCCGCGCCGATCGACGTTGCGCTCCCGACGAGGTGCGACGCGCGAAGAAAACGGGCACGCACAACCTTCACCAACCCTCTTCAGATGTGCCTTGCTCTCGTTTTCCCGTATCTTTCGTCTTCCTTCTCTCTCTCTCTCTCTCTCTCTCTCTCTCTCTCTTGGAGCCTATTACAATAGCCGTAAATATCGTAAAAATTGATCGGTCGTACGGTCGAATGTGAGGAGAACAACCCAACCGTGATGGGTCAATTTTGTGGCTTACGACTATGTGGAGTAGGCTTCGGTCCCGCACGACGCTTCGGCCTTCGATTGAGAATCGCGCGGAATTGTCCGTCGGCATGTAGGACGCGCAACTGTTTCTCATAGCGTTGGTTAATAATTATCTTACAGATGTATATGATAATATTTTTGCGCTGCTTTTCACGTTTCGCGTTGTCTAGTCCTGGTACATTAACCTTTCTGCCTCGAAGGCTGAAAAACTGCTGTTGAGAAAGGTAGCCTACCAGTGTGTACCTTTACCGTGGACGCGGATTACGTTTGTAATCTCCGTACGAATTGCTTAAGTCGACGAAGAAGAAGCTGACGGTATCGAAGATTCAGGGTTGGGTAGGGTAACTGGCCCTATTAGTGTGCCTGTACGTTTTAATGTGCTTTTATATTTAAATAAGTCATAAAAATAAACTGGTATAAATAAATAGACAGTGTTTTTTTTTTATTAAGTCAAAGTATTAACTTAATGAAACACTTTGTCTACCAGTTTTTATTTCTACCAGTTTATTTTTATGACTTATTTAAATATAAAAGCACACTAATAGGGACAGTTACCCTAGTGTTAGTTAAAAAGATAAAAGTTAAGTTAAAAAGTTAAGTAATTTTAACTTAGTTACATTTTAGGCTCTTAACTTTTAACTTAATTTAGTTACATTTTAACTATTAACTTTTGATCTAACTTTCTTGAAGTTACATTTTTAGTGCTTCTTGTAAACCCAAAATAAAATACATATCCAAATTAGTATTTTCAAATTCAAATTTGAAAACATACATCAGGGCAATTGTAATAATTTAATAAATATAGTCTGGCCGCGGGAAGGAATCACTGTTCGCGGATCTTCTGTGCATTAAATCATGTTGGAAGAAATCCTTCGAAATCGGTCCTCTTTCCGTGGCTCGACAGAAATAAGTATAACAAATATATACTTTATTTAGAAATCCTAAAATTATAAAATGAAAAAAATTTAACTTTGTAGCACCAACATCCTGATATAACTGTTGCATTGGCCCATCTTATTCATTGTGAAAAAAATTTAACTTTAACTTTTCAATTTTTTTTATTAACTTAACTCAGTTAATTTTATTATGGATTAACTTGTATCTTAACTAAGTTAAATTTTTAGCCTGTTAACTTTAACTTAACTTACTTAAAAAATATATATATTAACTTACCCAACCCAGCGAAAATTTAATTGATTAAAAAGTAAAAAATTATCGATTTATAAAATTATAAAAAAAATTTTATAAGGTATTTTGAATTTTATAAACTAAATTGAAAATACAAAATTTCTACTGTAAACAAAATTAAATCTTCCTTTGTTTAAATATACATATAATAACAAAAAGTAAATGAGATAAATAATTGAATAATATAAGATATAATTGTGGTAATATGCTTAATGAATATGAAAGGTGTTGAATAAGTAAAAAAATCAAAAGTACATGTATACAATAAATGTTACAATGTTATGCATAAGTAATGTCAACAACAAAATTGTGGTCTATATCTTTTTTTATTTTTGTAATAGTAATGTCACATTGATTTAATTTATTTTTGTATTTTTGGTACAAGCTATTTTGGTGACGGCTATTCGTGTGTGATCCATGATTTTTTCATAGGAATTTTTCAAAAGGATTGATTTACCACTTATTTTTACTCATCTTCAATCTTGATCTTGTAACATAGAATATCCTATCTCTACATTTATGTGTTTGTTTTTTCAGACGCAATCTTTACAGGTGTTGAAAAATGGAATTATCATCAGAAATATTGGAGACCTTAGTTATGAATAACAAGGACGTTATGGAGGTATTGAAAGACCAAAATATTACAGAAGAGAATATCATATTTGAATCCGAAGTGACCGAAGATTCTGAGGAAGCGGAAGAAATAGAAGAAATTATAGAGATAATCGAGGAGGTCGAGGAGGAAGGCGATGAGACACCTCTGGATGATAACGCCTCGGATAAGGACAAGCCAGCAGATGCAAAGGGTACTGAAACGGTTGAAAGGACAAAGAAAAATGACAAAGCGACCAGTAAAAACATAGAGCTCTACAGCTTCGAGGAGGAGAATTCAATGTTTACCTCGCAATTAGAAAAAGAACCAGCCAAGAATGTAAAAAGTAGCACCCAGAAAACTTCTAAGAAACAAGTTATAAACTATGACGTTGACGAGGATTGGCAGGATGAGGAGCTGGAGCGTGTGGATGCTATAGACAATAATTCCGAATTGACGGATAATCGTGCGAACTCTTTACGGACACAGGCTGACAAGAAGCATGTAAATAATCAAACTGTCTTAATTCAATCAAACAAATTAGATTTAAAGACCCACGGGGATTCCACGGGGAGAGCAGACAAATCTCGAATGGACGGGAATAAAGTGAATAATATCGAGGACGACAACGAGTCGACTCAAGAGATAGTGAAAAATACGGAGAACAATCTGTTGTACACTGTGCTTGGGACAAAGAAGCAAGATTCTTCCGCTAAACAACAACAGCAAGAGAAACTCAATGATCAATATGTTAAAGTTAGTATATATCTGACGAAAGTACCGCGAAGAAATTTTTTTTAAATATTAACAAGCAATTGTGTTATTTCAGATGGAACGACTTGAAGCGAATACTATACCAGTCGAGGGTACTATTTACTATGAAGGAGACAACATGGAGACACTGTACGTAGCGCAAGCCATCGACGATAATGAACAATATCAGTATGATAACGCGACGATGGAGCAAGATGAGCAAATGTCCTGGGAAGTAACGAATTCCGAGACTAATCAAAATCAGGAAGAAGATAATTCTCAAGTAAAGAATATAACATTTATGTTCTGCACGAAAAAAAAAAAAATAGTTTCTTATGTATTAACAGCATTAGCTAACAACAATTTAATCGAAAATAATCTTGCTAATTCAATGATAGCTTTATTGAAACAAATACATCGTGCTCTTTTTTTTTAACAAGATGTATTATTTTTTTCATTAATGTCATTGAATTAAAATTATTATTATTTAATACATCCTATATTAATACATCATTTTTTTGTGTATTACAATACACAACAAGAATGATATATTAATATAGTCTAATTTAAAATATCTTAATTTAAATAATAATTTTAATTCAATAACATTAATGGAGAAAATAATACATCTTGTTAAAAAAAGTGTATTGTAATACACAAAAAGAATGATGTATTGATATAGTCTAATTAAAAATAATATCTTAATTTAAATAATAATACGTACATGTAAATGTAATACGTTACATATAAATATATTATACTTGTTTTTGCTTTTTCAGGATCAAATATTTTTGCATGAAGACGAAGACGGTCAGTTGTACTTCAAGGATGCTAGTGGAACTCTGCAACCGGTATACTTAACCGAGGATGGAAATTACGCGATTGCTGAAAACAACGATGATAATACCAACAAAGAATTGCAATCTAAATCTCATCAGAACAATAGTACAATCGAAGAGGAGACTTTTATTTTGCCCGATATAGATTCATCCACCTATAAGACCACTTCTAATAAACAGGTATCATTTATTATACAATGAATTTATATACAGGGTGTCCCAGAATTGGCGCATTCGGAGTACAGGACGTTATACTTTGTGCTAAAAGGAACAACTTTTTCCTTTAGCAAATTTTGATCTGACAAGTAATTTTGTCAGGAGAGCTGGTTAAAGTTAACGAATAATCGCTTTTATCCATGCGGCGCTCAGGGTCGGCGCGCGCTCCTCCATTCACTTGTTCCTAATCCTTGGCTAATATTTACAAATAATGTCTTAAGATAA